GCTCCCAGGCGTAACCATGGCTTACAGTGACTACACGATCTACTGCTTTCAGGCCAGCTGCAAGGATATTGAAGTGTTCCCCACCTACTGGGTCATGTAGTTTGAAATGATCTATGTAGTTTTGTGGAAGATCCACATAACGAAAATCGCTTACTGGACCACGACCCGGTGTGCTATGTTGTGGATCACAAGAACGCACCGGGTATACTTACAGAAGAGAACCACAAGAGCAGCCTTACAGAAGAGAACCATGCATTTTAAAATATCTTCTCGGCCTCCCCCATATATATTTTTCTCAATATTGTGAAACATAGGGCTGTCCATGAACACAAAATCCATGCCATCAATATAAGCTTGAAAGAAAGTTACCTCCATATCCTGCCCATCCACCATATATCTCTTGCGCACTCCTGTTTCTTGGACTTCTGCATAGTTACCATACTGTGGTGCCACAACCATAACTCTATGTCCACGCCGAGCCAAAGCCTTCGGTAAAGCCCCAGCAACATCGCCAAGTCCACCTGTCTTCGACCAAGGAGTGCATTCTGCAAGTACCAATATAATGTTCATGACATTGTCCCCGGCCAAAGGAGGAGACTTTACAGTTTCATCCTCCGTGCGCTAATTACGAAAGAATTGCTCACAGCGGTACAGCCATCCCAGTGGGTCGCCGCTGCCGCTGCCGCTGTATGAGGAAAACTCCAAATGGCTATACTTGGGAATAACTGCGGCTGTTGGGGCAGCGATCTGCTGTTCGCTGGATGCCTCTGCCCAGTCCGGACGGCGACTGTTTGTGTTGGCGATTCCTTCAGAACTCCTTTCTTTGTTGGAGAGGAATGCTTCCAGCAGGCGTCGCATCTCCCGGACATCTTCCTTGACTTCACGAACCTCCATGCTGGTTTCTGCTAGACTATGTTCCAGTTTGTGGACCTTGGATGATAGCTGCTCCATATCGCCCATGACGTTTGGCTTTGATACCAGAATGTTATGGGCCCGGGCGTAGGATCTCGTCACGGGGTGGTCCACGGGGAAAACTCCTAGCCTTCCCTTGCCCTTCCCTTTGCGTGCTGACCCTATTGTGGCGAACTAGGGGGTGATTTGTTCAAGAGATCACCCTAACTCTCCTAAGCTCTTTCCTTGATCAAAAATTCAATGCCTTTATTCCAATTCCAAGCTCCTTTAAATAGGAGATTACAAGAGGGTTTCCTTGTTGTATTCGGTTAGGATAATCCATTTCCTATCGAAACTCAAACTCCTACTTCTAATGGTAATTAACTTCCTATTTCTACTGGTAACACAACTCCTACTAAGAATAGGGGATAAGTAGATGGGATAAGGGATACGGTAAGGGATAAGGGATAAGGTAAGCTGGCGGTGAGTTGACTAGAGTGGCAAGGTAAGTGGGCCCCTGATGAGCTGTCGTTTGGGCCCCCCTTCAGTGTTGCTGCCCTTCGCTGCTGCTGCCGGCCGCAGTGGTTAGCCTCGCCTACGAGTGTGTCTGCAACATACTGCAGGAATTATCCCTTAATATAATAAGGCGGTAGGGTGTTAAACATCACCAGTTTCCATGGAAAAAGCCTTTTTTTGGACTATATATACTATTCTTAAGGCTCAGTTTAGAAGGAGTACAAATACAAATATGTTGAGTGCAAAACTATGTATTTTGTATGTATTTGTACTGTACATATTTGTATTTGCACTCCTTCCAAACTAAGCCTAAGGTGCCAAACTCTTGTAGCCCTTTCTGTGCAGTTCAAACATGGTGAATGTCTTTACTTCTTTTCCATTCTTAAAATCTCTGATGGATTATTGGTACTATTGGAAGATTTCGGTAATTATGTATTATATTATGTGCTATTTTAGGTAGTTGAGAGATTTGTGAGCTGTACAAATATTATTAGAAATCAGTTTTATTTTTTCCTTTGTTTAGGGAGATTTGTTACCTAGTTTGTATCCTAGAGAGAGCTATAAATTTTGATGTACAGAAGCATAAAAAATCATCCCATTCTTACTATATTTCTGTCTCTTTTTTATGGTATTAGAGCAGAAAAGACCTAGGGTTTGTTTCTGCGTTTCTGTCCCTAAAAAATGTCCGAAGTCACGTTCAGTTCTCAGCCTCATTAGCCTGAGCCCCAGATTGTCCGGAATCTGCCTGAAAAATCACCCTATTCAGATCACTACAATCCGACTAAATGGTGACAACTTTCTCCGGTGGTCACAATCTGTTCACATGTATCTCAAAGGGAGAGGGAAAATTGGCTATATCACAAGAGGCACGAAGAAGCCTGATGTGAAGGATCCAGCCTATGCTGTTTGGGATGCTGAAAATTCCATGGTGATGTGGTTGGTTAACTCCATGACTGAAGAGATAGGGGCAAATTATCTCTGCTATTCTACAGCCAGGGAATTATGGGACAATGTCTCACAGATGTACTCTGATTTAGGGAATCAATCCCAAGTGTACGAGTTAACTCTACAACTCGGAGATATTCGCTAAGGTGAGAACTCTGTGACTAAGTATTTTAATTCTCTTAAGAGAATTTGGCAGGACCTGGACTTATTCAACGATTACGAGTGGAAGTCACCCGATGACTGCAATTATTACAAGAAGATGGCGAATGTTGGCCGAGTCTTCAAGTTTCTTGCAGGTTTAAACGTTGAATTCGATGAGGTTCGTGGCCGAATTATTGGAAGAAACCCTCTGCCCCCAATCGGTGAGGTATTTGCAGAAGTACGTAGAGAAGAAAGCCGGAGACAAGTGATGCTTGGAAAGAAGGCTGCAGGTACAACCAGACCTGTGGAAGGGTCAGCCTTGATTATTTCCGAGGCCCAAGTCAGTCAAAGGTCATCCCAAAATCAGCGGGTTGGAGACAAGAATAACTTGCGCTGTGATTACTGTGGGAAAGCTCGCCATACCCGAGAGAATTGCTACAAACTGCACGGGAGACCATCCAATGACAGGGCGAACAAACCTGGAGAACATAATATACCTATAGCAAACGAGGCTGAATCATCTCCATTCAGTAAAGAGCAAATAGATCACCTTCTTAAACTACTAAAATCCTATTCGTCACCTAATACTCCTGTCGGGACTATGGCACAAACAGGTAGCAATTCTTTGGCACTCTCAATTCTAGGAAAATCCGGTCATTGGATCATAGATTCAGGGGCCTCCAATCATATGATAAACTACTCTACTTTATTTAGTTCCTATTATCCTTGTTCTGGTATTGAAAAAGTGAGAATAGCTGATGGTAGTCTTTCATCTATTGCAGGCAAAGGAAACATTAAAATTTTAGAAAAAATTACTTTGAAATCTGTTTTACATGTTCCAAAACTTGCCTGCAATCTTCTCTCTGTCAGCAGATTGTCTAAAGATACTAACTGCTCCATTCTTTTTCTTCCTTCCACTTGTGTTTTTCAGGACCARAACTCGGGGAAGACAATTGGAACTGCTAGAGAGATAAATGGACTCTACTACTTTGATGAAACCGCTATTGGTAATAAAAAAGTTCATGGTTTAAGTAGTACGAGTTCAACCTCTGTCTGTGATCAAGTTATATTATGGCATCCTAGTTTTCCATATCTCAAACATTTGTTTCCTAAATTGTTTAAAGGAATTGATTGGTCAAAACTTCATTGTGAGGCTTGTCATTTGGCTAAAGATCATCGTGTTTTATTTCCARTAAAACCTTATTTTGCTTCAAAACCATTTTATTTGTTACATAGTGATGTTTGGGGCCCATCTAAGGTTAACACACTTTCTGGAAAAAAATGGTTCGTGACTTTTATTGATGACCATACAAGGGTATGTTGAGTTTACTTGTTGGAAAGGAAATTAGAGATTGAACAAAGATTTAAAGAATTTTTCCTAATGGTTGAAAATCAATTTCAAACCAAAATTGGTATTCTAAGATCAGATAATGGGACTGAATACTTTAACAAATACTTAGGAGCATTTCTGATCGAAAAAGGTATTATCCATCAATCAACTTGTCGTGACACACCACAACAAAATGGGATTGCTGAAAGAAAAAATAGGCACCTTCTTGAGGTAGCTAGAGCCATCATGTTTT